ATATTCCCCTACTCGCTTTTCGAAGAAGTTTGTCTTGCCCTCCAAGCTGATCATGTCCATCCCTATCCACAGCGACAGATGAAACCAATTCAGAGTGAGAAAAAGATCTGATGCAAATGACACAACAAAGTCGATTAAAGCAGAAAAGAGACTTACAGTCGAAAGGGTTCTTGGATCCGTAAAGCGGTCTGTATCCTAAGTCTCGAAGCAGTCGATCGGCTACAAATTCAATGTATTGCGACATGAGATTTTTGTTCATCCCAATTAGACTGACTGGAAGTGCATCACAAATGAAACCTTTTTCCACCTCTACTGCTTCCCCAATCAGTTTATAGATGTCATGCTCCGGAAGCTTTCTTTCTAGCTTGGAATATAGCTGACATGCAAAGGAACAATGAAGGCCTTCATCGCGGCTGATTAACTCATTCGAGAAAGTAAGGCCTGGCATTAGTCCACGCTTTTTCAACCAAAAGATGGCACAGAAGGCTCCGGAAAAGAAAACACCTTCCACTGCCGCAAATGCAACCAGTCGTTCCGCAAATGATGCATCGGAGCCAATGTATCGCTGAGCCCACTTGGCTTTCTTTTCCACGCTTGGGACGTTGGAGTGCGCTGAGAACAGCAGCTCCCGATCTTTGGGTTTTGCAATATATGTATCAATAAGCAGACAGTAGGTCTCCTGATGGATACTTTCCATGGCCATTTGAAAGCCATAAAAACACCGTGCTTCTGGCACTGTCACCTCCCTGCAAAACCGTTCCGCCAGATTCTCGACTACAATCCCATCAGCTCCGGCGAAAAACGCCAGGACCATGGATATAAAATGCCTTTCGTTATCGGTGAGATTTTCTTGCCAATCGGTCAGGTCTGCTGACAAGTCAATCTCATCTGCCGTCCAAAAGGAAGCAACGTGTTGTTTATACATGTTCCAAAGGTCTGGATGTTCAATCGGAAAGAGTGAAAACCTTGCTCCATCGTCGTCCTGTCGGCAAATATCCTCCACAAAGCCATCTGGATAAGCCATGCTTTCTCGAGACCATGAGGAGGTGGTCAATGTTTCCGGTTGACTATCAGAGGTGCGTAAAGAATGTTGCTCACCAGACTTGGTGGATTTTGAAGGACGGTCATGGGCGTTGGAAGGTTTAATGTGGTGTTCAGTACTGCCTCCTCGATACCTCTCATCCACAACATTTAAAAGGATTTCATTCTCAAATATTCCATTTCTGTTTTCGTTTGGATCGGGCCTTCGATATCTGCTCGGCACCATCCACCGATTCCTGTGTTCACCGCCAACCGTATGAGAACTTCCCCAAAAGCCACCGCCCTTTGAGAATGAAATTGATGATGAACATGATGGTTCTAACAGCAACAATAACAGCCAGTGTAGCCTTCTGACGGTGAGTATTGTAGCATGAGGCATGATGAATTTAGGAGTGCAAGCGGAGAATGTTGTTGCGACGGCGTGTTTGGAAAGATAATCCTTTTCGTGTCGCCGAAAATCACGTTACGAGTCCGTTCAAATTTCGCGTTACCAGTAGAACGATTTTAAGATCTTGTGACTGTATCACTAGCAAGGTTGGATGGTCAGCGTATATCCAAGAAGGTATTTGATGGGTTGGTTGTGCTGAAAGATGCTGGATTGTGCGCTGGTTGTGATGGAATGTGATTAATTTGGATGGATATTTATCGCAGCGTGTCAGTCATCGCCCGGTTCTTCATGCGGTTGGCTTCGGTTGGCTCGGCCGTTTCGATTTTATTGATTCACGGCATGGATACGCGGCGGCTTTAGTTGAGACGCCGGACAGACGGTCTCTGCGCTGGCATGATCCTTGTCTTCCTCGGGAGCTCGGGAGTCGGGAGTCCCAAAAAAAAAGCCTCCAGATCTTCTTCCCACTACTAACCTACTAACATACACGTCGTATAAGGTAGTATTTTTTGTCTCTAAACTGCAGTACTACTACCGGTACACTACGTTGTGTTTTGTTCTTCCAATGGAAAGCTACTAGTAGATGCACTGAATTCAGTCTTTATTTTAATGCCGTTATGAGTGGTAGAAAGATTATTGAGACGGCAAGAAATAATATGCCGTCGACCTTGTTCCCCCGGAATCGGTAGTTGTTACAGCCGGTTCAAAATCGACCTATTCCTCCCCGCCCGACTTGAATCTCTTAGACGGTGGTGGCTCCGAATAGTCATCGTCGTCTTCGTCATCCTCTTCTTCTTCCTCTTCATGATCTGCTCCCAACATTGCTTTCTCTGTGGCATCCGGTTCAGCGTCGTGATTGTCTTTGTTTTCATCATCATCTTCTTCTTCTTCTTGATATAATCCCAACAATGCTGCTGCTCTGGCATCTGGTTCAGCGTCATGATTGTATTCGTTTTCGTCTGGCACATATTCTTTAACAATGTCCTCCTTCTGAAAGGCAATTTTCTTGGACGACGGCGACGGTGACCCCTTGGCCTTTTTGTCCCAGTCAGCTTCCGGTACTTGTGCCACTTCGACATCCAGTTCCTTGGCAATACTTGCTCGCAATTCCAAAAGTTCCTTGGTGTTGGGCCCACGTCCATTATCTTCCCTGTACTGTCGCAATACTTCGTTCATGACCAAGTTGAACATGGCGTTCTTGTCTTCTTCGTCAATTTCCTCCCCTTCTTGCCAAGGCATAAAGGCCACTCCTTCTTCTTCTTCTTCCTCTGCAGCTTCGGGGTCGGCTAAAGTATGTTCTGGAATGTCGGTGCGGGAGGCAAATTGGATATACTCGTCCTTGGTGTAATCCAAAAAAAACTCATCATTTGGCATCACAGCAATTTCTTTGGTGGCAGCAGTTTCGTCAAGGTCATTGTCATCGTTCGAATTGCCTCCATTTTCTTGGCTAGACGCTTTGTTTTCCTGGTTTTCTGCAGTTGACGGATTATCCTTGGCTTGTTCGGCGTCTTCCTCCTCCTCCTCTACTTCTATCTCCTCTTCTTCATCTAGCTCTTCGGCCGTTTCGGCAACTTTTAAACACAAGATATCACCCCGCACTTTAGTTTTGTGTAGTGGCGGTTGTAACTGATGAGGATTGTAGGGAGGCAAATTGGCTTGATACTCTAATAACGCCTTGACCAAGTCGGCCTTTTCCAACATTCCTTCGGTATCGATCTCCCGTTCGTGACACAAGGTCTTGAGTTGCGATACTTTAAAGAGACGGGGTAGTTCCTGGGAGAGGTTAATCTCACTATCTTCATCGTCGTCCTCATCGTCATCTTCTGCCTCTTCCAACCTCTCATTCCTTACTACATCGTCCAAATCGTCGGGAAGATTCCGAATCATCAAGACGATGCCTTCTTCTTCGTATTGTCCCAAAAAAGTGAAGGGACCGCCCAATGTTTTGGCTACCATGGACTTGTTGGGGGTGGTGTCGATTTCGATTTGTTCAATCATATCAGTCAAGACGACTCGGGTAGCCATTGCGGCATTGTCGTTGCCGTCGTTGTCAGCATCGTCTTTTGTTGTTGTTGCTGCTGCTGCTGCTGCTGCTGCTGCTGCTGTTATTGGTTGTTCGTCATCTTCTTGTACTGCTGCTCCTGCTACCATTGCTATTGGTTTTTGGATTTCTTCCACGTCTCCATTTTTCTTTCGGCAGTGTAACAATACGGCCTTGACGATGGGTCCTGTCGATGTCAAGAGCTGCGCAATGTCGGCACCACCCAAGGAAGGATGATGATGGGAAGGTCGGGATGCCTTCCCTGATGTCGTTACTTGGCTCATGGTACAGCAGTGTAGTGGAACCCTTTTGCAGAAAACCTGTAGCAGCGCAACTATATGAATGCTTCTTACTGTTTCGTACAAGTGAGGGTAGTGTTGCCCATTTACGGTATCGTAGCAGAATAGGTATACGTCGTCGTATGGTGTTTACTGGCGACTGCAGCAAGCAAAACACAAAACAGGCCCAAAGGGACAAGAGAACGTGTAGTAGGTTTTTTTTTCAATGACGGCGCGAAGGAGTTGACTTCCAAAATACACACATACATTATTAACTGTAAATTACCGGTACTACAGTGTAGGAGAAAATACTACGGTAGACTTCGAGGTATTACCTTTAGGTTTTTATAATACTGCCGTACGTATCACATTATTATCCCCAAATTACTATTCGAATGAATTTGGTGAATTCCTTGATCATTGTTAACGTAGTCACAGTTCTAAGTTCCCACATGATTATTCTAGCCTATGCTCCACCCCAAGTTCCAAGACCAACCAAGATGTAAATGCTGTGATTGCACTAACTGTCTATGATAAAGTAATCTGGATGGCTTCTCGTCCTGATTCCTACTACTACTAACTGTAGTATATACTAAGTCGTAATGGAATGAACAATTGTATGGATGCTATTCTATGTGGTGGTTGTGAGTTCATGTACACTCATTTCACAATCTAGAGTATCAAAATCATTTATGCCACTGTCAGAGAGCTGGTCCCTGCTCCTAACAATAATGGGACTTGGATCCTTCAGTTATCAGAGGAGGGGATCGGGGTGCTGAAAAATGATATCCTCACACTCCATTTGGGGGTGGTACTAGGTTATTTGGCTCTTACCATCGATTCTGATGCGGCTATTCGAAAAGCATTCACAGATAGAGGTGTCCATCAACCACCTTTGTATTGTAACCACCACTACAGATTCAGATAATAGAACATCAAAAGATGGTGCTGTCATCTCTTTTTTACTGTTTGTCGTTCAAGTAGCTAGGAAACTACCGTCCCGTAGTCGTACTGTTACCGTTGTAGCTATTACGTAGTTCTTAACTGTAGGTCAAAGGGGGACGACGTAAAAGAATGGTTCTACTATGATACGTGGTAGATTCTCCGTATCGTACTGTACTCCAGCGCTTTCTTTCAACGAGGCCCAAGACATGTTCGTCTGTAGGAAAACACGGGTAGCACGTACACTAACTGTAGGTCTACAAAAAACAATAAGTAAGAATGTATACTTAATTTCTGACATATAACGGTAAGTTCCGATGTGATGTAGGTGGTTAGCATACTTGCCTCTCACGCAGGATACCGGGGTTCGAGTCCCCGCATCGGAATTTTTTTTTCAGAACTCCATAAGTTTCAGAACTTCACAGTCACAAGTTTTGTTTCCCCACACAACGTAACAGTGTCTTGTGTTGTTTTGATGCGAAGTAATTGTCAATGGGCAAATGCTCCAACAAACAATGTATATCATACGTCGCAATCTTTTTGATATCAATCAGTTGACAGTTACAGTTAGTGCGAGACTTAACGACTTACGAAGTACTCGTTGTTGAGAATGGGAGAATGCTACCAGAATTCGAATGCTATTCTGGTGTTGCAAACAAATCATGGCAATTCTTCCATGAAGACCAAATTGATCCAACAGGATTGGAACCAAAAAATTCCAACAAAATAAAGTGCTGCCTTCTAAAAAAAGAATGGTGGAAAGAGTTTCATTCATATATCTGTACTTTCAAAATGCTACAGTGTATCAAATCAAAAGAAACCCTTGTCAACAAAGCAACGAATAGCTACGACAGTACGGGAAGAAGGAAAGGGTCAAAATTGAAGTGGTGTGATCCGTCTCTGTTCCAATTGATCTTATGACAAAAATTACTAGCCGTTGGCAGGCTGAAGCCACTATGTCCTATAATTGTCATCCAAGTAAAAAGCAAGGCTATAGACGAGACAAAAACTATAAACACCTGTGTTGAATGAGCTTCCTCTTTGGGCGGATTTTTGGTTGTGTGCAAACAAACAGCACATCAATGTTGACAGCAAGTTGATTGATTTTATGGGAGAATGTAAGGAGGTTCAAATGAAGAGTCCATGGCTAACCTTTGTCTGGTCATTGCATTGATAATGCTAACAGTTGCGCATCATGACAGGTTTACCTTCCTACATGACTAGTAAAGGCCACTTGCTTCGTTTTGGTTTCTCTTTATGCAAACGTTTTATTTGTGTGCTCAGGGATCATTGATCTGAAAGGTTAGCATCTCTTGGCATAGTGTAGCTGAAAATATTCTCTGTTGTGGTGTTTGCGATGCAACTACAAAGAACTGCACATTCTTGAACCTTTTTCCAAAGTGTGCAACAAAGTGACTTTGCACTGAAGCTCCTCAATGGAACCCATTGATTTGAAAGAAGAAGAAATGGGTATAGATGATTAGGAAATGGAATGACATACATTGGAATATATAGTTTCATTGTGTACGAATTTGTTGCCACTAGGATTCAGTTGATTCGTTTCCCTCAGATGAGGCCGATTTAAGCCCGTATTTCATGGGACTAAGCAGCTTCCAGTTTGATGTGTTCAGGACATGTACTCCTGAACCAAAGCAACCAATTGCCATCCATTTACAGTCCAGGCTCCAGTCCAGGCTCGTAACAACACTATTCTGGCTTACAAAGATTGCTGGCAATTCCTGTTTCACTTCACTCACTTCCACCCAAGTGATGGTATCGCATACCTGTAAGCATTGGTTTGACCCACCAAAGGCAAGGAATCGCCCTGCCGGAGACCAGTTCAAGGCTAGAATCTTGCTTCCAGTTTTCATTTGATTGCATAAGATCCATCCTCCTTTTCTGCTTAGGATTGATATGCCAACTTCTCCACCAATTGCTAGGAAGTTGTCACTGACACCAAAGGACAAAGATCGTATATTGTGGTTACTTGAAAACTCTGCTAACGGGACGAAGAAATTGCAAAAGGCCTTTTCTGTGTCAAATAGAGTGACTGTGCCATCTCTCCTTCCAATTGCAAGTGTTTTGGAGCTCCAGGCTTGGCACAACACTGCCGATTCACTAGCATCGATTTCGCCCGATGGCTCAAACTCAGCATCCACTACCAACATGGAGAGCAGGCCATCTTCCACTCCAATGGAGAGACGTTCATCTCGTTTGCTGAATGCGACCGAGTGAATGGGTGATGTCATTATTGTGTTCAGGATCATTGACCGGGTTGGGACACTCAAGACATACAGTATTGATTCATCGCCACCCATAGCAAGCAAATTGCTGGAATTCGAGAAAGCCAATGATCGAATGGGTTTAGCGAACTCGACTAGTAATATGAGAAAAGTCAAGAGAAACGTTGTTAGTTAATTTCCAACCAAGTTTTGTACCAGTGCTGGTGAACTTACTTTGAAAGACAACTTTCCAGTCTCTCGTTGTCATGATGGTCAATGAACAATCGTCAGCGGCGTAGGCTAAGTAAGCTGAGGTCCTTCTTCGTGAAAATGATACAGCAGTGACGTTGGATTGTGACTTGGCGTCTTGAGGTAACCAAGAGGAAGTACAATCATCTATGTCGCGAAAGGCATCATCTTGCAGTACCCACCCGGAATTTGTTGAAGCGCTAAAGTGCGAACTTGATGCTGCTGAAGAATAGTCATCCATCTGGCTTCGTTCTCCTCCATCGATGCCAGGTTTCACCAAGGCAATGTTTCGAGACTCATCACTGAGGACCAAATATTGATGGTGCCAAGATAGGGCATTAATACTTTCCTTTCTTTGAATTTGATGAACAAGTGCAAATCCCTTCGTCTCAACAACGAGGCAAGCCCCGTCTGACCCTGCTACAGCGAGGAAAGCACCGCAAGGACTCCAGCATAGGGACATGATTCTATATCGAAATTGAGAGAACTTCGTGTCGCTTGGGGTGTTGCTGATCTCGCAGTGGATTCGGAATGGGTGTTCTCCTTCCAAGATGACTACTTCTCTTTCACCCACTGCAAGGTACGATCCGTCGTTGTTGAAAGTAAGTGCTTGAATGGTCGTGAGTCGTCTCGACGTCTCGTGAACCAGCTCGAAGGTGCGGGCATCGTACAGCGCACAATGTTTGTTGCTGGCAACAGCAAGGTATTTTGAACTCCAGTCGAGACAGTGTATCAAGCCTCTCATAAAGAGAATACAAACCAAACAAGCAGTCAGTTGCTTGGAACATACAGACGCGAGGAGTACAGTTCAAATCAACATTCGTACCTGGTCTGCTCAATTCAATAGTCGAATCATCGAAGACTTGTTTCAGAGAGTCATCTTCGTTGCAACTTTCTCGATCTTCCCATACAGATGTCATTGGAACGATTGCACATTTGCCATCAAATCCGCCAATCGCCAAGAATCGAGCATCGCGTGAGAACTTAACGTCATAAATCCTATCGATTCGCTCAAAATGCCGAAGTACGACAAGCTTTTCCAGCGAATCTCCTTCAAAGACTACCTGCAAAATCCATGCCTGACAGGCTGAGAAAGCAGAGCAAGGGGTGAGCGAAATGTCTCGAAGTTTTTGCCTTGGCCACATTGGACACATCTCACCATCTCCGCCAGCAACTAAACTTCCGTGATCTCCAAAGTCCAGTGATCGCACTCTTGCTTCGATTGAAAATTCCAGGGCAGCTGCACCTTCTTGTTGTTCTTCTGGGTTTGATAGATAAGTGTCTGTTATTTGCGTTACAACAATTACCCCCTTTTCGTCACCAAAAGCGAGTAATAGTGGATTGAAAAATGAGGATGCTTCTGATGGGAATCGAGCCATTGCTATAGCAGTCACATTATTTTCTCGCGTGATTTCTTTCCAGATAATCCCTTTTGATTCATCGAAAGTATTCTCTTTCTCACCCGAATTTATCAGATCTCGTTTTTTAACTTGAAATACATTTTGTTTTCGCGGTTCGCCTGCGTTCGTGAAAAAGGAAGAGTCAAGCGATAGTGGGGAAATAGCATCTTTGGAATCTTGAGTTGCAATGAGTGATGTTTGCCGGTTGACCGCCAGTTGAAGAAACCGATGTTTCGCTAATCGTAGCTGCAAGGCTTGTCCATGCCTCTTTACTTTCCAGCCGTCGACTTTGCCGTCATTGGGTGTGTGCGATTTCGGTAGTCGTTCTGACGAAATGGTCGAGCGGCGATAGGAATCACGACCATCAGAGTAGTTTTGAAAACCCTCATCTGAGTGTTGAAGTGTTTGCGCATTTGTAAATGTCGTGGATAAATTCGTTGTCAAAGTCTGTTCAGAAGTTGGAGAAGTTCTGGCACTTTCTAACTCTGTCGTGCTAGCTCCACTAGGCCCCCAGATGATGACTTCATCATGATCTGAGGACGACGATGTCTTCCTACCAAGTTGGTACTTCCACCACCTTTTTTGCTTATCCAAAGACCACTTGCGAGCTTCAATAATTGCAAATTGTTTTTCATCGTATTCATCCAGCCTCTCATGGAGCGGTGGATGTTGTGGTTTTGAAGCGCATGATCCCATCGTCGAATTCTAAGGCAGGATGGTCCTTGTTTGTGTTGCAGGTTTTGGCATTCTCTTTGACCCATCCAGGAAGGAGACTACGTAAATTTAGACACCGAGACAACTCCCGTTTCTCTTGAAAATCCAGAGGAATCAATCCCGCCATGATCAAATGCACGAACATTCCTCGAAAACTCCTGCCATGCAACTGAGGTGCGTGAATCAATTCCTGCCACCTTTTTGAATTTGAAAATTACAATCAATTCCGGTGTCACAAGCTGTCCCTTATGAAATCCGTACTTTGAACTGTAATCGCATTCCAGTTTGAGACTCGGATAATTTGAGTCTTCGTGATTGGTGGTTACACTTAGTGCGGTGTACTGATTTTGTGCTTTAGCTCCATTCGACGCGTCTCTACTGTCGCAGTACTAAGTTTCACACACATGTTCAATGTATGAGTTGCACGGTACCAAAGTTGTCCATTTTCCTAAACGTAGTTTCCACGAATGAATGAATGTGTGTATGTGTCTACGACATAATGGAAGTTGACATCGTTGGAAAACATTTGAAAAGTCCACAGAAGTCTAATTTTTAGAGATCCCCATATAGACTCTCGTCTACTTCCATGGCCGTCATCAAGTTCCCTTGCTTTCCCTCAGCTTTGTCTTCTTCGTCCTCTTTGAGGGATCGTTTCAAATCCAGCATGTATTGCATCAAAAGCTGGAACTGTGCTTCGCGAACTCTCAACGTCTGTTCCGTTTCGATAATCTGCCGGTCCACTGTGGTTCGTTCTGTCTGGATGGAATTTATTTTCGATTGTAATTCCTCCTGGGATGTGGC